GTTTCGTATGTTTGAAGGTGGTTGCCAATGTTTCATGGTGCATTTCATTAGTACGTACTTCCGTTGTCTATTCTATTCCGTTGATATAAAATGATTTGAAATCCCTGAAAGAATCAATAAAATTACAAAGATAGCTAAAAATAACAAATAAAATTAAAGTAAAACAATTAAAAATTGGAAGATTTCAAGCCAAGCTACTTCGTTTCGATTATTAGTATCCACAATCGTCTTCGGGTGATGACTGGACTTATTTCTCCGAGAGATGATTACTTATAGATCATTCTAGTGCTTTCACCTATCCATTCTTCCCGCTTCATCGGTTTTAGCGGGATGTGACGGATTGGCGGGAGTTTTCCGCTTGATTATGGGTTTCCATATGTTGCGTATCTTTTCGCTAGCTTGGCTGAATCCGTTGTTGGACCAAATAAATGCGGCTTCTTTGAATTTTCTCCTAAACCACTGATCCTCCTTGTGGATGATATATGATTTTCCATAGTCGCAGGGTATCCGGTAAATGGAATTCTTGGAATCCCAATCCGCGTTTGGTGGCCTGGTTTCCGTAAGGCTTCTACGGATAGTGTGTCCGGATCTGAAGCAGGTTCTGTTGCACCCAATTATTCTTATCCTTTTCGACAATATTCTGATGTAGGAGGAAGATCAAGTTCCATCATCACTCTAGAGTAACCATTCCGTTGAAGATCATTTTAATGATGCCTAATTCCTTAGGTTTTGTGAGACTTCATTTGAAAAGTCTTTCAATACTGCATTCAGTAGTGATCAATAATTTTTTGTCCTTGTACTGAGTGACCGAAAACTAATTTCATTTCAGTGGGATAATAACTTTAAATCCTACAAAATACGGCAGTTGAGTGAGATGTCCAAACTGTCATCCACCAGCAATAAGCAAATCTATGGATACATTCCTCTTGCACATTGCGAATAATTTCTGGAGTAATTTTGCTAATCCCGATTCAAATTCTATATTTCAACTCCTCTAAATTTTTCGGTCTACATACACAGGCCTTCGATTTCAAATGGCATAAATCTGTAGATCTTACGCCACATTTTTCGAAAATTCCAAATAACGCTTCCCTGTCAGAAGAATAAGGGTCAACAAATCTGTTTATTATTATCCATGCCCAAACATTGATTTTCAGAGGGTGTTCACTTACGAAATTTAAATGATAGGTTTAAGAAAGAAATCACTAGGAAAGTAAAAGGTTCCACTAGGAGTAAAGGGCTCCAACATACTTTCCTTCATCAAGCGTGTCATACACATACTGGAAAAATATATCAAATGCACCTTCCGTTGACCTACTTGGGCATAATCCATGCTGAAATTTAGAAGTGATGCCAAACCAATCCAAAAATACTAGCTACATAACGATCTTTAAGTCGCTCTCAGAACGGTGCCTATGCAAAAGTAGCGATTCACATTGTATTTGAATCGCTGGAGATTAAATCCATTTGAAAACACGTTCTCAGGAAGTTTATTCCACATAAACTCAGTTCTCCAAATGAAGGAGTTTTTAAGCAGTGAAGTTCGAGATGTACTGTGTCAAAATGATGAGCATACAGTCGGTCGCGTATTTCTAATATGTACCGCGCTTGGTGGAATGAAATGTACCAAGTCACTTGAACATTTGCCATGAAAGTATCTATAGAAGAGAGAAAAATCTAGTTATTGCAATATATTGCTAAAGATCATGAATTATAAATATCAATAATAAATCAATAAATGTATGGAAGAGCAATTCCTGCGATAATTTATCATACGCAGATATTGAATCCTGCCATTTGATTGGTCGTAATTTTATGGAACCATCAATAAAAGCCATTATTACTATTATTATAAATTCAACCACCGTTAGAAAATTAACTAATTAATTACTTTTTTGATGTTCCTGTTGATAAACAAGAAAAACATTCGTGTTCTACTCGCTATCAGCTGATTTTGAAATACAATTTTGTCAGTCTTCATGATACTTATTCTTCAAGCAAGTGTTTTACTGCATTATTGTCCATAAGAATGAAATTAAAATTAATTATTAATCAATTTAAAAAAATTATACGCTATGAAAATTGTGTAAATTTCAATCTACCAAGGAAGTACATTCTACATTTACTAACCCTTGAGACAGACCAAATATACGCGGGCTTGGGCGGCTATAGATGTTTCACATCAAGATCAAGGCTGAAAACCAATGGATATCTTCCAAACATACATACAGTTGCCTAGTTAACGTGAATGTTTAAATTATTTCTGGAGATCTTAAACTTCATTGATGTTTTATTGAAACAAGAGGCACTAATGGGTTTGCAACATTTATGCATGAGAAATATTTTGATTTATTTGACAAGCTATTCAATATTCTATTGATCTGTTATGCTTGTTACAGTATATTTCAAAATGAAAACAGGCACTTTAAATTAATTTTTTTCACCGATTGTATACCTATCTGGTATCATCGTGACTTCGTACAATGTTAATGTGGTATAATAATATCACCACCTGGTGATCGTCTTTATTCCGAATAACACTGACACCATCTATGAACATTTTTGCACAGCGGGAATCACTTTACGAAGACCTAACAAATCCGAAATGACTCGCATTTTCTCGTCGATTTATCATGATCTTTTTTATGTTTGCGTGACAGATAAATCGTTGACTTTGTGAGAAATTGGTATGTTAGAAGTCAGGAAGATACAAAAGGTTCTTGTGATATATGGTGTGGATTTTTTCATCGAATTACGACGAATAGGATGTCCATCATCGATTTATCGTCTGATGAAATTAATTGAAGAGAAACGGTGGAAGAATGACTCTGCTGATAGATATACTTTAAATTCATTGGATTCTAAAGTTTCAATTGTAAAAATGCTGTTCCTTCAGATGATGTTTTGAAATTGGATGATCAAAAATTTGTCAACAATAGCCTTTTCCTGAAAAAAAAAAATACGGATAGATAAAAGATGAAGTCTTTCTTTTCGAGGAAGGTTATTTTTTCAAACAATATAATTCCAAAATAGTCGGCAATGAATTCTCAGAAATGACTGACGTTTTTGCCTTAATCTGTCTCTTGCAGTGGCGTACGGAAATTATGCTAAACAGGTGAGGAAAAATGATGATAAAATATATAGACACACACACAACCTTGACAATAAAGCTTTCGTTTCAATGCAATAATATTTCTGAAAATTTAGTGCCTATTATTCTGGAATTTTACCATAGCGGCATGTCAACAGGATCAATCACCTCACAATTTATATCCCGAAATGTAGTCTTCCTGGTTATATCCCGAGATGTAGCTTTGGTATATAACTAGAATTGTTCAAAACCTAAGTTTACTCATTCAACATAAGCCGGTGTACCTGATGATAGTAGGTACCTAATCATTGACTAGTAATCAGAAAATTATTTTCTTCTTTATCGCCATATACATTGTCTAATCAAAAAGTCAGTATATTAATCCATTTAAGGATAAGGTTCATCAATATATATTCTTGTTTTTTTTTCAGATCGAAATTCTCAACAAATATTTATTTTTAACTTCTAAGCCAGCACTCTACCTCGTCAACCTGTCTGAAAAAGATTACATTAAGAAGAAGAATAAATGGTAAGTTAGTTCATTTGAAAAATATGTTTTTATTTTTGCTGAAACGAAGAGATAACCTCCTTATTGAATCTAAACGTAATCAATAAAAAGACAATGTTTTTTAAAAAATAAAACAAATCATCGTTGTTTGGAACTTCCGATTAGTTTTATTGAAACTCGAATTGAGTGGCAATAGATATATCAATTCGTTTCAATAATATATGTATCGGGATAAAATTCCATTGGCCCACAGGACAATTTTAGTTTTACAAAGCTGATGAATTAACAAAAGATATATCCAATAATTGATGCAATTATGAAGGAGAAACACTTTTCAATTCAAGAGCGTTATCTAAAGTATGTCAATATGTGGCAGCAATGGAACATCAATGTTACTTAATTTGGTATTTTTCCCCACCAACGAATCAAAGATATCTATTTATGCAACTCTACTGAAAATCGAAAGTTCAATGGTGCGTAGAGGAATTTTGTGGCACGAACACAAATTCGTATCATGCGGAGAATTACTAGCAGTTCCTAATAGCGTGGAGTAAATATATTTGAGAAGATAATAGATAACCCTCGAAACGTTTCAGAACTGTATCTTCTGTTTCAAAACATATTGTGATAAATTTGTTTTGATTTTTGCCACATAAAAGAGGAAAATGAATAAGGTTCGATTCAGCACATTGAAACAGCTTGTATCTCATCTGGTGATGATGCGATAATTGTCAGACCAATGATCACTTATGGTGGCCTGGTGGCTTTACAGAAAACGGCTCAGACGAAGCCCTCTGGCTTACGGAGACAGGCTTGTCTGGCTATCAGTACCACACCGTCAGCGGCCATGAATGGAACCTGAATGGAGTGGCCATTTAATGATGGATCTGAAAAACATATAGAAAATAAATAGTAACGAAGCAATTAACTGATACATAATAACATTAAATTGAGAAAAAAGAAAATAAACTCATAGAAGAAACATTGAAAACTGTGTTACTATAATGTGAAGTAAGACAGCTTTTCAAGTATTTCATTCTTTGTTGCATAACTTTTTTGAATATGGTTTGAATAATCATTCTTCATCAAACCTTTTCTCTCTGTTTATTTATTCAACATTTGGGCCTATATCCTTCAACTGAGTGCATTATCAAGAGACATTTTTTGTCTTATTGAAAAAATATATTTTGGAACATTTATGATATGCGTAGTTTCAGTCTAGTGTAGAGCGGCTAAAAATCAATGAATTAGGTTATACTATAACTCAAAAGCGGTATGTGTGGAAAAGTAAGCAGTTCACGTTGATGGTTCTCTTATAAACTAAACGCAATATCATCGACGATAATGGTTAATCGAAATACTCCGCATTTGAACAACACTATTTTGATAGACGTTGATTATCGAAACCCTTCACGATCCTGATCGATTTGATAGGGATGAGTGGGGGATAGGTATCTTGATTTTGACCAGAAAATGAAGTACCTTCAAACATTTGAATAAATTTAAATTTTCGTCATAGTCCTTATAGATATTACCAACCTTAGTAAAGGGCTCCGCACTTTACTTATGAACATGTCCTTCTGTCAGATTTTCCGAAAGAAATTGTGTCAAATTGCACTAAAACCTGATCAAAAGTCCCAGCCTCATTACATCCAGTGTGTCCGCAAAGTATGGAATAAAATCGATATTTCCAAAACCAAAGGTCGTTTTAGAAAAACCTGAAACATGTTGATTTTTAATTTTAATGTACTACATTTTACAACAAAATTTCATTATACAGGGGGATCCATATTAAAGTGATGATGTAATCGGTAATTTTTTAAAATGCAACACCCTGTATTTGGTGTCAGTTTAAGATAATCCGTAACGAGCTGATTCCGAAAAGGTATGATACTTGGGGTCTAACGGACAGAATTTGAAAGATGTGCGCTTAGAAAATAAATTTTATTGATATCTAATAAAAGTAGAAATTAATTAATTATTTTATATTTTTTTCTAATGATTAATTTAACAATGGGAAAGTAATCCAGTAATAAATACATGACTTTATTTTGAATGTTCAAACTGTAGTCATTGCTGTATTTGGCAGTAACGGTCTTGGTGACAGTTATCCATCATGGCTTCACAAAATTCTATTCTTCAATCTGGATCATCCTTGTTTGATTCCTTAAGAAGTTCTATTTTAAAGGGATGCCATTTTTCCAATTTTAATACTTTGTGTACAGTTGTTTTACTGACATCGAAATCACGACTGAACTTACGAGCAGAAGTGTGCACATCTTCGTCAAAAGCAAGTAGAACATCATTTACAGAAGGACGACCTGATTTGCGTGCATTTTCAGCTGTACCAGTTTCTCGTAATTTCTTTTCAATCTTACTTACTACTGACTGCGTTATGCGTCTTTCTAGATATTTTTCATTAAATAAGTTACACACTCCCATCTGAGTTCGCGATCTGTCCCAATATCATATCATAAGTATTTCAATTCTTTGCTTATTTTGTAAAACGAAATTCGATATTTCCAGTTTTGGAAATATCGAATTTATTCCATACTTTGCGGACACACTGTATACATATAATCATCACTATCACAATTACTGTTGGTAATGATTCAATTATTTTTGAAGAAATGAATATTTTACAAACAAAACTAGAAGAATGACAAATATGTTTTTAGACAGAATCGTTCACAAACTTCATGCATGGTCTTGCTGCATACGCTGAACTCCTATTATACGATTTTCTGTTACTAGAGTGGAGTGTGGATTGTGTTTAAATACTGTAAGAAATGACACTATATATAAATTAAAAATAGGCTGAACTGTCTTTGTCTCAATGTTCTAATTTCAATATTATGCCGATTCAGCATAATGTTGACTTTCGCATGACTTTTGACTTTCGCATGACTTTTGACTTTCGCAATCCTAATGCGAATATATCAAATCTCCAACAATTTCTACAGAGACTGAGATTAGTTGCTAAAGAAAAATATGTTATTAAAATTTCATCATCAAAATTCTACATAATGTTTCAGTTTTTACTATCAAATCATCCTTCGCGACTAACCGAGTGTTATAATCAATGTGCATAAAATTGTTATATCCCGAGAAAAACGTAATATTATTAGTCTGGATATCATGTAATCACCACATCTTGATAAATCAGAATTGATCTAGGTCCTAGCAAGCAGTGGGTCGTATTTTTCTAATTTCAAAATAGTGATGCACCAGTCTTAGCGAAGAAACAATATTCAGTCTTTGTGAATGCTGAAGATTTTATATCACATAAGATTCACTAATGAAATTCCTTATCAGCAATGTGATAAAACAAAGCGATAGTCAGTTTGATCAGCACAGATTCTCGAAAAGTCTGAAATACAGATTTCTAAAACTACAAATACCTATATCCTGCACACCAAATATGTTTTATCGTTGTTGAGATGGGTACTGCAAATTATGCAGATGAAGCTTCAATTCTGTAGACTAACGTAACAACGGGGTATTGAGTATAAGATATACTCGTACATACAGTGTGCGATTTTTCGTACAGGCGTAGACCTTCATGGGACGCACTTTTCGCAATATTTAGCCCGAGTGAAAGCCTTAAACCCAGCCTACTTCCATCCCGCGAAAAGGGGAAATTCTCGATATTTATGTTCGCGTTGGAGATAACGAAATAAGTTATTTGAAAAAGTTGCGTAGAAATAGTGAAATAGATTTTGACCATACATACCGAATTTCAAACCAAAATTCGAAATTTGTTTTTTTTTTTTAATTTTCATATTCAAGTCCCATTTTCAATTAATGGTTTCGAATAAGAAGCTACAGAAATGATAAAATTGTCAAAATCATTGAAATGAATATATTGAAATAACTAAAATTGGAATTTATTTTATCAAATGTAAGTTAATCGGATTTTGTCTCCTTTACTAGCATGTCTCCAATTTCAAGAAATTTTTCATATTCCAACCAATATTCGTAACCAATCATATTCCTGTTGAATATGATTGGTTGCGAATTTGCCACATTTTAGACGGAAGATCGTCATTCTCAATGTTTCGAAGCAGTCTCATATTTTGTGTTTCAACAGTTTTCAATTTTAACGTTTAATTTTACGAGAAAAAATTAAATAATAAGGTTATTTGGTGGTGCTCGAAGTAGCAGACAAATTGCTCAAGAATTCAACAGAACACATCCGCAACGAAATAGTATTCGACATGAATCGGCAGCATACGTGAATAAATTTTTTACTCAAACTTATTATAACGAATTTATTTCAAATTCTGTGTATATTTTTTGGAAGACATAATTTTTTGTGTAGAAGTTGATTTTTCTTGTTTTTTCGGGATTTTCAACCTCCCATAATTTGTAAAATCAATAAATATGGTTCAACAAAGAGTCTGCTCAAGTGTAATGAAGGGCAAGATAGAAAGTTCACCCCGAATAGTAACTGTGTAATATAAAACTCAGCAACGAACGATGTAGAAACTTCGAGGAATAACTTTCCTTTATGCACCAAACGCACATATCATTGATGATGTCTGCTACAGTAGCAGACGAAACGTTTGGTGGTTCAGGTTCTATTCGACCTCAGTTTACTAGCCCGGATTTTGTTCGAGACTCCGGCCGTGGAAGTCAGTGTTCTTATATTGTAACCGTAAATGTTCCAAATTATTTTGAAAATACAAAAAAAAGTAACTTATGTTTTTCTACAACTCCATCATTGAACAAAAAATGCGGGAAATTTCTTTCTTTTGTAAGTTTATCACATTTTGTGTTCAAGTAAGTAAAAAGCCGAAAGGTTTTCCACCAAAAAACTAATCTTCCCTAAAGAAATTTCTTTTTCACTTCGAATGAAATTTCTATGGCTGGGATTAACTAAGCGTAAGAATGTGTATACACATACGTACTATTTTAATGACACGAGCAAATTCTCTTTCCCGGTTACAAAGTCGTGCTTCATCTCGAAATGATATCCAAAACGGTGCTGATGAGGTGATAAGACAAAGGTATTGTCTCGA